AAAAAAAAAAAAGTCAGGAAAATTGAAGTTATCGCCAAATAAGTACCTTTTAAGAGGAGCAGTTTTCTTAGTGGTATTAAATAAAAATGCTTCCTATTCTGAATCTCTGTGATGCAAACTGGTAATGAGGACTGCTTTACCCTCCATCTTCTATGAACCTGCTGGCTGTTGCACCTAAAATTCTTTGACGAATAGTTATAGAAAATAAAAAGAAGGTTATGGCATCATCAATGTATTGAATACATGGACTATAAATTCTGACCACTTTAAATAGCAACTCCACTTTTGTTGACAACAATGTAATCCCTCTGTGTGATCTATGTCCATTGCAGAGATTTAAAAAAAAACAAAAAAACAAAACAAAAAACAAAAAAAAAAAAAAAAAAAACTTTGTTGCAGTTTCTTATCTTTTTCTGCTCTACAGGATTAGCTCTTTGATTAGGTCAGTCTGCAGAGTGAATCTGAAAGGGAGTCACTTTTTCATTATTAATCAGCTGATACACTTGCAGTGTTCTAGTGAGGAACATTGTAGGGTCTGCCTCCCTTGACAAGTATTTATCCTTTAGGAGTATCTCACCAAACATGAATGTTTTATTACAGAGAATGCCTAAAATCTGATTTGTATCTTAGGGCAGACATCTGGGAAAATCAGTGGGCCACTCACACACACGCAGTGGTTGGTGTACAGAAGGCCTTCTGGTTGCCATTTTGCATTTTATAAAAAATTGCATAAGTTGCAGATTGAAAAGGAAAGGTAATTTTTAATAACATTTAATTGCAATATGACTTGTGTAGCAATGGCATATGGTGTTTTTTTCCCACAAAAGTGGAGTTACCCCTTTACAGCCGCACTCCAGACAGATATAAACTCTCACTAATTAATACAGCTGTATTCATCAATAAATAATACAGGACCTTGATATCAGCTTCATGCAATCCACTATTAGAACAGCACAGTAGCAGATGAAGGGGCAGGACTGGGAGCCAATCAGGTATAAAACAGGCTGATCGGAGGAGAAAGAGTAGAGGAATGACTTCATCGGGCTGCCTCTGCTCTTTCACTATCTAGTCCAAGGAGCAGGGCCCTCCCATCCCTCTTGTATTGAACTGTATTGTTGCTGTATTGTCTCCCCTTATATTGTAAAGCGCTGAATAAATCCTGTATAATAATAATAATCTAGCCAGATCTGGGTTGATGCAGAGTGAAAACTCTGAAGTTATCCTAAAAACCTGTTTCCAGCCAGCAACTGATATATTAAATACCACACATCCCTCTGCTCCTACAGTGTCCCGCTTTATTTATTAGGGACCTTCTTCCAGTGTTGTTCTTTTTATGTAGAGTAGGGGAGCATAGGTACTGAAATAAGCTGATACCAAGTCACAATCAGATACTTACACTGCTTGCATTTGAATAATAAATGTATTATTGACCACAGAGCTGCGTTAATGTGTGTCTTTTATATCTGCCTAAAGTTCAACTTTAAGATATGAACACAAAAATAAAGGTTTGCTGCAAAATACACTGGATTCATCACTTTATTACAAAAAGAAAAATATCCAGTCCACCCCCCTCCCTAGTGTCATGATTGGCCATCCACACAGCATGCTTGGAAAAGTTACGGGCACTCTTGATTTTGTTGGTCAGCAGCATTAAACACAGACTGCCTGTCTGCAGCAGCCCGATCCTTTGCCCACGCTGGCGTCACTTAAAGTGCTTCCGCTGCTGTGAAGGAGCCAAGATTGGCCAAGTGTGCTTCTGATACAATATACAACTTGTTAAGCCCTCTTGGCAAAGAAATAAATGATTAACGCAGCAAAGACAAAGCAGTGAAATTCTGAAACAATCCAAGAAAGATGCTCTGTCAGCTAGGGCAATTAAGCTTCAATTTAAAATCAATCTGCAAGAACGATATTCCAATAAAACAATGCAGGACAATGGCAATGCCGAGGTAGGAAATACATTTCTGGAGAGATGCTGAGTAGATGCAAGAAAGCAAGCCCTGGAAAATGACACCAGCTACACACCTCTTTAGATTTCAAGTGATTGTAAAGGTTTACATTTATTTTTTAAAAATAACAAACGTCATACTTACCTGCTCTGTGTAATTGCTTTGCACAGAGAAGCCTGATCCGCCTCTTCTCGGTCCGCCATGGATGCTCCTGGCTCCTCCCCTCCACTGAGTGCCCCCATAGCAAGCCACATGCTATGGAGGCACTCATATGGGAATGTTTCTGAGCCCGCTCCCTCCTCACTGGCTGTAATTGACAGCAGCAGGAGCAAGAGGCCTCAGGCTTGCCATGAGCACTACCTTGGTCAACCCAGTCCTGCCTGGAGTCAGCAGCTTCTGCAGTAGAGTGTTGACCTTGGAGAATATTGGCCTTGTCTATCTCATGCAGCCATAGAGAACAGTACCCAATAACTGGGTCAGGTCCTCCAGATTACACGGTCTTCAAAGGGAAACAAAGGTGTAGGTAGCATTGGTACACCCCTCTGTGATATCCCTGCTTAGAGAGGGTGACATTCTTCCAATGTAGGACTTCTGTGCTGGTTCCCACTGTGTTACCTCTTGCGAAAGGGAGGGGTTCCCGATCATGTGACCACCGTGACATTTTACCACAGTGGTCATGATTACGAACCCACTCTTTGATATGTTGGGAGGAGTTCAAAAGGGAGCTCACCTACAGTAGCATAGTTCATAATGCTGGTTTAAATTGATGTAAACCCAGCATCTATGGCAGGCGTTCTCAACCTTCAACATGGAGAAACCCTTGAAATAACTTTCTGGCCTCAGGGAACCCCTGCTAAAAATGACTATATCTACAACTCATGATACATTAGTGTGATGGTCAGTGTGAAGAATGTTCCTTACACTTGTCATTGGGAAAAATCACCCCCTTACAGATAGCTAAAAAGGTGCCAATGGGAACCTGAGAGGCAGAAATTGCTCATGGAACCCTAGAAACCCCTGGGGGGAACCCTGGTTGAGAAACCCTGACCTCACGGCTTACTAAATACAGTTTTCTTGAGCCAAAAAGGTTTTAACACCAGATCCTGCCAGTAACAGCACTTCCTGACGCATGCTGACAATGCTGAGCCACTGCCTCGCAATTAGCAGAAGTGTTGTCAGTCTGCCATGCAAGCTACTTCAGTTGGCCAGACCTGATAAGAAGCGTCATGGCCAAATGAAGAAGTACACACACAGCAGGGTGACAACATTGCTTCTAATTGTGAAACAGTGGCTTAGCACTGCCAGGAAAAACTGTTACTGGAAGCATCTCCAATTAGGAAATTTTACAACAGAAAAAAAAATTTTTTTTTGCTTAAGAAAACTGTATAAAATAATGCATAAGGCCAAATATACTGAAAAAAAAATCAGGATTTATGGTTTACACTTTAAGGGCTTGTACGTGCATACAGCGATGCATACAGTGTATAGTTTTGTACACATCCCTATAGAAATCTATGGGCTAATTCAGATAGCTGTGTAAAAAGGTAAAATAAAGGTGCACAGTGAAAATGAACTTTTGGCCACCGTTGCTGCTCAGGCTCAACTTGTAAATAGAGACAATGTTGAATCAGTAGTGGGTATTAAAGTGGAAGTTCAGTCAAAGTCCAAGGCTAAATCTACTCCCACCCCCATTCAAGGCCTATTCTATGTAACCCTGTAGAGAAAAGATCTGTATACTTACCTATTCTGAAGCTACTCCAATCCAGTCACATGAGCTCCTGTGTAGAGGAGAGATCGCTGACAAGGGCTGCAATGCCTGGGCGATGACGTCACCCACGGGCTTACTACGGGGCATCCGTTGTCGGCTGTCCCTTCTCTAGACTGAAGCCGCTGTTGACAGCTGATCATGTGACGGAACCAGAGCGGCTTACGAATAGAAAAGTATAGAAATATTTTCTTTACAGGGTTAGATAGCATAGGTTTAGAATGGGTGTGGGATTAGATTTAGCTTTAGTTGAGTCGACTGAACTTCCACTTTCTTGTTGGGTATGAATGAGTAATTCATGCCGTATCAACTCATGCGCAGAATGACCTCGGCCAGCCATTCATGAATGACTGAAGGCTGGTCATTCTGCACATGTGACACATGACTGAATCATTCAAAATGATGTGTAAACTTCAGTAGTGTAATTAGTACCCCATCTGAACTGAATGACCCCCTAATGCTCCAAAGGTTTGCCTCTGCCAAGCATAAGTAACAGGTTCTCTTCAAGTTCTATAAACCACCTCTGAAAAGAACACATCACTTATAAAGGGTAACAATTTAATAAAGCACAGGACCACCACACAGAGTACATTTTTAAAATTTGTGAGTGTGTCAGTTTTTACTTTGTAGATCCATGTGGCGTTATAAACCAGGGCAAAGATACAGGCTCATCACAAGGTACCATTTGCACAAAAGACAGACAAAGCCTACGTAAAGGATTTCATGATATCCGCTGGCTTCCATAGTAGCTCACAGACACAGAGTAGGTTTTCACGCTCTCTATTATCTTACACCACTGAAAGGTTGGACGACTTTTAAAGGTCTTTCTAATCCAGCCAAGGCCCTGTTGAGGGGTCGCAGGCCTCGCCCGCAGAAGACAATCGACTCCGTTCACTCACATGGTCAATTTTCCAAGGGTGGCAAAATCACCACTGTGACCAGTCTCTAGCATGCCTGTGTCACACACACAAAGGAATGCAAAACCCATAGATATATTTTACACTATATAACAGTCAGTTAATTGTCTTAGCCAATATGTCTGCACCAAGAACTCATCACACTTTGTCCATCACCAGCTGCAAGTCTCTAGACAAGCAGCGGTCTTGCTGGCTTGCTTGGAAAGCGATCAGAAGCTTATTCTCAGGGAGGAACGGCCAGTGAAGCATTGCAGGACAATGAGGCACCGGCCCTTCCAGCTCTGACAAGGTGACGTGTTAATGTGAGAGTCCAGCCATCCCAGCTCTATGGTACAGTGAACTGCGGACATGTCCGGTCTGGAGGGCAGGCTACCCGGCTAGTTTGCTGGTAACGAGTGATGACTTCCTCTGTGGAAGGTCCTGCGGCGTTGGAATATGATCACCAGTGACTAGGTTTTTATCCGGCCCAGCGCATGGCAGCTGCTTGTTCTTCATCTTGGCCTTTGCCATGTTGTAGTCTCCGGAATCAAAGTACTTTTGCTGCAATAAGAAACATAAAATGTCAAGAGATGAAAAAAAAGCAACATTATATTCAAAGATTGCAGCTCCATATATTCATATTTTAGGCCTGGAAAGACCTCAGAAGTGAAAAAGCTAAAAAAACTGCAGATGTCATCTAGTGTTTTTTTTCACGAAGGAAACAGATCCTAGAACTCTAAACCTGTTGCCACCCACATAACACATATGGGCGGTGCCAAACACTGGGTTTTAACACACATGCAATGCTGGGCGGTCACTTCTGTGCTCTTGGTCTGGACTAACAATGAGGACAGGCTGCTGATCATGTGACCACTGAGACAGTCAATCACAATTGTGAACCCGTCCCTCCCCCAGAGTATTTAGAACCTCTACGGGGATTTTTACATTCCTTTTGACAGCAATGAAAGTGATTAAAAAAAAAAAAAGTAAAGAAACAGTTCAGCAGGGACTGGACGAATTTTGATCCATGTATGGGCGGGCTAATTATACAGAAGTCACTCTACCGATCAACTCTGGTACAACCACCCTGTTGGAAAATTTCCACTCGATCAGCGCCACCATCCCCTCCTTGCCCCCAGCATGCCTTGCTGTTGTGATTGACAGGACTCTATCAAAACACCAGCAGAGTCGGAGGAAGCAAACACCCCCCTGCCCCGTCCTACGGATCTCCTGTGTTGATTGACAATGGCTATATATATTTTTCCAGCCAGTCTTCTGCTCTACCAGAACCCACCATGTGATAAACTGTGTAATCCAAAAACAGCTTTTCCATTCCAGCAATTATCTATGAACTCAACTCCACTGAGTTCCTGCAACGTGCCCGTTTTCTTCCTGGGCCTGCTAAGCTACTGACAGTCACCTCCCTTTCCCTGCCTGGAACACAATGATAGGTACAGTTGACAGCACATAAACATTTGTGCATTTCACCTCTGTCACTTCAGCAGTCGGTAACAACCATCCCAGTTGGCCTAATTTTAAAGTGGTTATGAAGTTTGAAGGTTTCTTACCTTAATCCATTCTATGCATGAAGGTAAACAGCCCTTCGGCATGCAGCTCCCCAGCCCCCCTTATACTTACCTGAGCCCAATCTCGATCCAGCAATGTGCATGAGAGCAGCGGCTTTCTCAGCTCTCTCTCCTCATTGGCTCAGACAAAGCAGCAGCCGAGCCGAGCTATGTGTGTCTATGGAGAGCCGCCATAGCAAGTGGACTGCTATGGGGCACTCGGCAGAGGGGAGGGGCCAGGAAGCCGGTAGAGGGGAGGGGCCAGAAGAGCCAGTAGAGGGGCCAGGAGAGTTGGCAGGGGATCCTAGAAGAAGAGGATCGGGGCTGCTCTGTGCAAATCTATTGCACCGAGCACGTAACTAGGCCATGTCAGTTATTTAAAACAAAAGAGCGTTTAGAATCACTTTAACCACTTGCCTACCAGGAACTTTTACCCCCTTTGTACCCAGGCCAATTTTCAGCGCTGTTGCATTTTGAATGACAATTGCGCAGTCATGCAACATTGTACCCATATGATATTTTTTCACACAAATAGAGCTTTCTTTTGGTGGTATGTACTAGCCACTGAGTGATTTATTTTTTGCACTATAAAAAAAAAAAAAAAAAAAAAAAAAAAAAAAAAGCAAAAAATGTGAAAAAAAACAAACAGTTTGTTTCTATTATAAAATTTTGCAAATAGGTAATTTTTCTCCTTCACTGACGTGTGTTGATGAGGCTGTGCTGATAGGCAGCACTTATGGGCACTAACAGGTTGCACTGACAGGCGGCATTGATGGGCGACACTGACTGGCGGCACTGTTCATCAGCTGTGACAGCGTGAGGAAAATGCTGCCGATAACTGGCAACTGTTTTTACTCTGTGATCTGCTGGGTCATTGGACACAGCTGATCACGTGGGAAAAGGCTGCTGTGATTGGACTTTTACCTCATCACGTGATCTGCTGTTTGTAGGACACAGCGATCATGGAGACTGCCAGGTAAGCGCCGCTGGGGGCGTCATATGACGCCCTACCAGAACTGGACAACCACGCTGTAGCCGTCAGTTGGCTATAGCATGGTTGGCAAAAGGTTAAAGGGATAGTTCACCTTTACCAAAAAGCTGCCTATGCAGAGAAAGGGCGTCTGTAGATAAAACAAGCTGTGCAGCTCTGACTAAAATTGAAGAATGACCTTGCTATAGGTGTAGGCCATTTACATACCTACTGCAGCCTGACTGGAAAACTCCCAGGATGTTGCTAGGTGAGGCCTAGTCATTACTGCTCACCTTCACCATCACAGGAGTAAGCTCAGAGTTTAGAGCTACTGCATCAGAAGAGAGTAAAAGCATGTGAGGGGGCTTGAATCAAAGAAAAAGCTGACTCCTGTGATAGTGGAGGTAAGCAGTAATGACTAGGCCTCATTTAGCAATGTCCTAGGAGTATTCCAGTCAGGCTTCATGAGGTACATAAATGTCCTACACCTATAGCAAGGGCATTATTCAAATTTAGCTAGAGACAAACAGTTTGGTGTTATCCACAGACACCCCTTATCTGCATAGGCAGGTTTCTGGTAAAGGTAAACACAGGTAAGACAGGCAAGTAGGGGTTCAATATACTAAAAGGTTCGTGGCCACAAATACACATTTTAAAACACATCTTCATCTACACATGGAGATGGAGGAAAACGAGTTTTTACAGTCTACGGGAAATCTTCTTTAAAAAAAGGACAACTGATGAAGCAGAGCAATTAAATGCGAGATAAAACAATGTCTGTTCTGTAAGATAATAGAGAGTTGCCTGCAGACCTCACCACTGTGTGACAATTCAACTGCTTCTATATTTACTACAGAGTTTATCAATGCGGCTTATCACAAGGCCACATGTTTTACTTTTAATTAATTTTTAACTAGTGTATGAGACTAGCACAGATAAAGAAGCTGCATGCATGGAACACTATGTCCATGGGGCCCACTGCACTCTGCATATTAACAGATACATCTTACCATCTGGTGCTGCCAATGCTGTAACATGCATGTTTACCATGATCCACAACATGACAAATAATAAAAGGAGCCAAGAAGGCAATGCACCTCATATAATCTGCAGCCAGGGTACTTTAACCACCTCCCGCCCGCCACATAGTCCAATGACGGGTGCAAGGTGGTTCTCTCGTTCTGGGAGGACGTCATATGACGTCCTCCCATTCTCACCGCACATGCGCGGCTCAGGGAGCGCGCAGTGCGGCGATCGGTGGTGTGCTGTGTCCCTCGGACACAGCGGATCACCGATCTACGGAAAGAGCCGAAGATGTCGGCTCGGTCATGTGATCAGCTGTGTCGAATCACAGCTGATGACATGTAAACAGGGAAATGCCGGTTACTGACATGTCCTGCATGGCACCAGTGATCTGCTGATCGCTGCTGCAATGCTTTCCAGGCTTTCCATTTGTGGAATTTGATCACAACTGGGTTTTTTATTTTTTGCGCTATAAACAAAAAAAGAACAATTATTTTTACTATAAAACATATCCAGTAAAAAAAAATCAAATTTCTTCATAAATTTATGCCAAAATGTATTCTGCCAAGTCATTTTCCGGTCCCCGTTGACAGATTCCTAGCCATAGAGGCCAGGAAAAAATGTAATGCAATGCGATTTGCACTACATTACATTCAGTGGAGCACAGGGGAGACATGCAGGGTCTTTTGTCCTCTATGTGATAAAAAAAAAAGTAAACACAATTTTTTTTTTTTTTAAATAAGTTACACCCAAGCATATAAACCCCCCCCAAATTTTTCAAGGCCCCCCCACCCCCTCATATGTACAGACGTACAAATGTAAAAGCATGCGGTGGGGCACCTACGCATGAAAATGACAATTGCGATACACATGTTACATATCGCCACACACGCCAGAATGAGAGCGATAATTCTAACACCAGACCTCCTCCGTAACGTTAAATCATAACCTATAAGGGGCTTTAAAATTGTCTCCTATAGAAAATATAGGGTTACTTAAAATTGTTGCCACAAGCGCGCTCAAATTTAAGGTTTGACATGTTGGATATCTATTTACTCGATGCAACCTTGTCTTCTATATTTTACAACAAAATTGATAATTTATTGCTTTTTGTGCCTCAAAATTAACTTAAGTGTATTTTTTAAATTGGAACTACCACTATTTTATTCTCTAGGGTCTCTGATTTTAGAAAATATATGTTTTGGAATTTTATGTAATTTTCAGGCCTTGAATGATTTTTTAAACGTGTGCAAAAAACGCAAAAACAGCTCTGGCAGAGAAAGGGATAAAGGATAAGCCAGACACTCCCCTTTCCAGTCAAGCACCCAATCGGTGGTCATTACACTGCAATGTCTCCCCCCTCCCTGCTTGTCCCCGGGTGCGGTGCTGAAGACAGGCAGGGAGGGGAGGAGAAGATAAACAGCACAATGTTAAAAATATTAAACGTTTAAGTCGTCATAGAGTCCTTTTGTTTTTAAAAGCCCCAGACATTCCTTAAAGCAGATTTAAATACAGTTTTGGTTAAAAAAAAAAAACATTATCAGGATAAGTAGATTGTCATAAGGGACAAGTAGATTGGGACACCGATTCAGTCCCTGGACAAGTAGTTTTTTCAAAAACTTCCACACCCAATAATGGAATTTTTATATTTTATTTACTTCAGGTACCTGTATATCGCCATAAATTTACACAGAAATTATATATATATATATATATATATATATATATATATATATATATATAGTACATCAGTCCCTAACCCTCAAGGGGTGTACAATCTAAGGTCCCTAACTTACATTCATAAATACACATACTAGGGCCAATTTAGATAGGAGCCAATTAACCTACCAGCATGTCTTTGGAGTGTGGGAGGAAACCCACGCAGGCAGGTGGAAACTGACTAACTGCCACTGACACAAATACAGTGATCAGTGCTAATAAAAAGCACTGTTACTGTACTACAGACACTGGGCAGGAAGGGTTAACATCTGGGGCAATCAAAG